CCCTTCTAGATAATCTTTATCCAATGCTGTAGAAATTTGCGTAGCTACTCTTGTCTCTTCTCGCACTTCAGAATAATGGGATCACATAAACAAGGCAGACCAAAATTTGCAAAAGACACTGTGTTCATCACTGTTTTGTCCATCCCAAGAAAGGTGTCCAGTAGTGACTTCAAAATAGTTTCTATAATAGTATAACAAAAATACCAGTTAATACTTTCACAAGGAAGTTTCAATTTAAAGGAAGTTGAGAAATAGCAGCAATTCTGAATATTCTCACGAGGGTCTTTACATCTTGTGGCATGGTGTGAAGACATTCTCTTTATACTAAATAATTATTGGGCAGATATTGGAGTTTATTAATAATTTGTTAATTTATGCCAATTTATATTTTGAAGGGAAACAAACAATTGTGTGATGAAATCATAAATTTGTATGAATGAAAATTTTGAGAAGTAACATTTTTAGAGAACTTCACTTACTAATATTTTGGTATACTAGATATAATAATATAATCTATCCCTATACCAAAATAACTGTAATGTCTTTCTTTCATGGATTACGTCTCACTGAGGAAATAAGGGAAATGATGTGGACTACTCAGCAAAAAAGGCTTCCAAACTTCCTTTTCCCAATAACTCTGCCTCTGGTTCTCTTGATGACTTTAAAAAACTCTTTCTATTATCAACATTTTTACTATGGGATTTGAAATGGAAAACAAAATGTTCAAAATTACGTCAAGTTAGAAATTCAATTCTGGATCCTCCTCTTCTCCTCTCCAATTTCACAAGAAAACAAGTAATTTTGACCAAACTCTGAATTGGCCAAATTTAATTTCAGTCACACTTATTTATTTAAAAAGATAAATTCAGATCTGAGCCCAAATTGTGGAGAATTTATTTTTACATCCATTTATTAGTTCAATGACCTTTCACAACATGTCAGAAATACTTCAAATGTAATACAGATATCCATTCTATATTAAACTCTACTCCGCAGTGTCGCAAAGGTATAGAATTTCTATGTGTTGCAAAATTAGATAAATATATATAGTATTTCTTTTATTGTTAAAACATTTTCAATGCTTTTAATATTAACTGTAATTAATATTGAATGTTTTAAATTGTTAAAAGAAAGGTAATCAAAACTGTACATTTTCTTATAATATGAAATTGTAAATCAGATTGTGATTGCTTATGACCACAAAGTTGCACAGCAAATGTAAAGTAAAATATATAATATTTTGGACCAATAGCTATTTTTAATTTATTGAAATAATTTTCTTGGAAAGCTTTTTTGAACTAGGATAAATTATATGGCCTTTTAAAATTTATAGTCTTCTGACTCCTTGTATTTCTTCATCTAGCTCTTGCAGTTCATCGTTATCTCACCACATGGATGCACAGCAATCTAAAGAAACATCTCATAAATTAATTACTCTGTCAAGCATATATAAGTTACCGTTTCAAATGATTTTATGTCAGCCTAAATTTTAATTATGAACGAAGCATTTTGATTGTTCTTACCTCTAAATTTTCATACTACTTCTCTCGTCTGCAAAAATATTGTTTCATAGATGTATAGTAAATATTCCAAGTGAAAGCAAAACAAAAAACAAAACAAAACAAACAACAACAAAAACTGTTACTTCACTGCATTTTCTGTTTGGAACATTATAACTAGCATAAATGATTAGTTGAAATAAATATTTTTGGTACCAGAGCATTTTCAGCTGTGGCTTTGATATTCTCACTCGATCATTCTACTCTTTTTCCTTTCTTTTTCTGGTTACATCAGAACACCAAAAAGAAGAGATGTTTTTCCCAACCTCCTTTTTCTTCAATGTTTTTCCTTCAGAATAACTGCTAATTAAGATTTTCAAACATAAAAAGGTCAAGAACTTGTTTAACAATGAAGATATTGTTAAAGAATTTGTGGTCTAAAAAAAATGATGTGTTTTGCATAAAAGAAATCTAAGTGCAAATAAAATTACAAAGATAATAAATCAAAATTGTGAGTAATCAAACATGTTCTCAAAAGAAATATCACTGTAAAACACTAAAAAACAATATAATTTTTCAGTATTGATTTCAATTGCAAGGGCATTCATTTTTGAATTTGTTTCTTTCACGTGTTCTTCTTTTACTCAAACATTTCTGAACCACAATTTGAAAATTAAAATGGCAAATGAACATTATATGAATAATTACCTCTTGCATCGCAAATTAAAAATAGAAATTAAAATTTTTCACTCAAATAATAATGCAAAACAAAGTATTTTATTGTTGATACATATGGTAGCCACAGGTATGAAAGGAAATTTTGTCTCATGTCTTAACTACACAAATTATTAATTTCAATTATTTTGATTTACATACAATGTTAGTGTTTATTTTTGATGTACACTAATAAATAATAGCTGTCATGTATTTAATCCAGATTAAATCTGTGTATTGTGTTTAGATAAACTATATATTTTAACTCTTTTTGTTGAAATTCCACCCCACCCCCTTCTTGTCTGGAACAATTATACTAATTAATTTTTACAATGACTTGCAATGTGTTTGTTATTTGAGAAAAGCAAAAGTGGCACCCCAGATGAATAGTAGTCAGTGGCTGAAACATTTTAATTTAACTAGTGATTAAATTAAATTAATTAATTAAATAGATTTATCTAAATTTTAATTGTTAAGGCCATAACAAGAAAAGAAATGAAGCAGCTTTTGGTGTTCTTTGCATATCATTTATTGCATTACATAAAGTTACTCCTACTGAAAGGATGAACCAAACAGGGACAATACATCTTGGAGGAGGAAGATGACACCAATATACTTTGAGATAATATAAACAAGGGAAAACAAATTATAGTTTCAAAATGTTTTGCAGGTTAAACAAAATTATCTCACTTTAACAATCATCCCAAAACGTCTGGTTCTCCTAGCTGTAGTTGTACAAAATCCAAGAGTACCTATATGGCAATCAATGAAACATCATTTCAGATAGACAGTAGTGTGCAGTGTACAATGTTTCAACCATCACTACTGTTTGTCTGGTTGCCAGATTATTTCCCTATCTTCATCATTGATTCTATGTGACCTGACTATATATATTAGATGTTGGATGTTGTGCACAACATAAATAGATAAAGTATAGATATCTCTTAATTTTTAATGAACTGTGGAGTTTTTGTTTTATTGTGTTCAAGAATCAGAGCACAGAAAATCTTGTACCTAGTTGAAATGGGGAAAAGTTTTGTGTTCATAGAGCATAAGTATGAAGACACTGCAAAGTATCAACTCATAACACAGTTCTCTTTGTAATGAGTTACTACATTGCTTTTCAAATTATGGATTTCAATTGTTTGCAATATACAAACATAATAATTGAATTAAATGAAGCACAAAACTTTAAAAATCAAACTACAGAAAAAGTTGAGAATCATTATGATAATCTTGTCACTGCCTCTGATCACCTTTCCCTGTCTCTATACCTTGCATTTTCCCTGAAATTGTTTGAAATACTACTATGCTACTTTGAAACATTTGATTGTAATTAAGGACATAGAGAATTGGCAATACATTACAAACCAGGTACATTGGAGATTAACAATCACCATTTTGCTGAAAATTTATGAGAAGACACTGAATAATTAAAACATAGGCTAGGTACATATTCATAAGTGTGGAAAAATAAATTACAACTACTTGATTTATGGAGAAAACAAAGTATGAAGTGCCTTCTTTTCACATTTTACTGCTAACACACTTTTACAAAGGAGGACTTATTTTCACAAATCATATCAATTTAAAAAAATGTGACAAAATTCCTCAGAAATAATTATCACTTGTACTTGTAACTCAATGTCAATATTTAGGAATGAGGGAAATTACTTTCAACAATAGTAATGTAATTTCCTCTGAAAAGCAGCCGAGTCAAAATTAGTTCATTTAGTTATGTTCTCATAGGATGATACAGCAGTATGTCAAAATATACTTTTGTTTTATAATTCTTTGCACTATAAGTACCTATAATGATAATTTATTTCATAAAATACAGTTTTTATTTCAATAATTTAAAGCATAACATCATGATACAATTTATGTTACCTGCTTAATGTTTTCCATAAGAAAGAAAAATTTTAGCCTAAATCATACGGAATAGAATTCTTGTAGAAAACACTCACATGATATTTTATACACATTCAATATACTTTGAATAATAGTACACTGATGTTTCCTGTTGTCATAGATATATAAATAAATAAATATATGGTTTTCAGTCTACAATTTAGATTACAGATTGGCTATTTGTGCTCAATGTAATGTGACACACATAATCACATCATTGAAGTTTTAGCTGCCTTCACTTTTTAAAATCCGGAGCATACTTCTCTAAAATTTATTATACAATAATATTGGTTCCTTTTCTTAAGCTTGACCACATTCATCACAGAATGGCAATCTTTCTTTCACTGAAGAGATTTCTATTATTCCAAAGTTAGGTTATAGTTGCAAATTTTTAAATTTATTTGAAGAATAATTATTACAATATTAATGTGATTATGTGAATATTTTATTCACACGACATTTAACTACACAAAACAGAAACATGATTCCTGTTTCCCCACCTGTTTCTGTAGAAATCTTAACATGGCTAAAATGACATGCTTCAGGCAAATCCATTTGTGGAGGCTGGGGCCACAAGAGGTTTCGCCAAGTCTGTGTAGCCGAAGACAGTTTAATTGCCATTGTCTTGAATTGCACAGTTAGAATCTGCATCAATCAAATTCCTGAACAATATTTCACAAGAAAAATACATAGAAGGATCACATAATATTTTGTGTAATATGTAACCCTGATATATAAACATTGGAGGCATTTCATTTCATGAACAAATTTACTCTTTCAAGCAAAACAGATTTTTGAAATATATATATCTATTGTGTTTAAAATGCATAATGAAATTAAAAGTTAACATTATTTCACACAACATTACAGTAAATACATTAACTTTTTTCTAAACAATATTCAAGATATTCATAATTATGTATCCACTGATCCTTCAATGCTATTTTTGTATTTTATTTTTTTCACACAAAACAACATTTATAGACATATATATGCTTATATGTACATATATATTCACAATTAAAGCTTACAAAAAAATTGATTTGAAATTCATTCAATAAAATCTAACACTACTTGAAAGAGAAGGGTAAACTATGTCTCTGGGAGGATGACATCCTGACACTTGAGGTTCTAACTATTATTTAGGGTAGGTAATCAATCAGCAGTTACATGACAACCACCGCTATATATTAATATGATACAGTGGAGGTTCTGAATGTTTTTCCATACCTGAAAAGGTTTATAACCAGAATAAAAGAAAATGAATAATTAACAAAATCTTCCTACAACATTTATTAATGATAGGCCTTGGTTTAAATAGTTCTGTTTTACACCAAGGATTACTTAAACTCAGAGGTCTTGATAATAGAAATAAATGGTCATAGCTTTCTATGGTCAGGTGAATGTCTCACTAATCGGATGAATGTCAAATAGACATTTGTTCTATTTCAAGATAGCAGAATTCACTGAATATCTGTATGTCATCACAAGCTTTCAAAATTCTTTTAAAATACCAACAACAGTACAGGTACATGTCTTTCACAGCACACATAATTTGCGCATCCTATTATTCAAGTTCAACAAGTCAGAATTGTTGCAAATATTTATCAAGTCTAACTGAGAGTAACTTTTCTTTACCTATTCAAACTTTTCTGACCAGTCTGACCTTTAATTTTAATTTGTACAAAATATAATAAAATATCTAACAAAATATTATTTAAAACTGATTGTCAATAACTGAATACAGAGCAGAATGAAAAGGATGACAGTCAATTCTATACTATATTCTTTAAGTAGTTGTATCTATATTTATAAAATAGCAGACACATTCTCTTCTAACAGCATAACTCAGTTCATGCTATGGAAAGACTCTGGTAAAGGGCATGAGCCTAAAAAAATTAATAACTTTTTAATTGATTATTGTATTTCAGTTCTTTATCTATAAAAAATAAGGCAGAAAATAAAGTACTTTGTGAACAGCACAAAATATTATTAAATCTTTCTACTATCTCCCGTTTTTGTTTCCATATTATACACTTATGATATTCCATCTTCAATTGACTTGGACAGGATCTGAATCAAGATGTAATAAACTTTGAAAGTACAATATTGAGCCGATATTGTATTGACAAAGTACTGAAGAAGATCCTTCTAGAAATAACATTAAAAATAAAACAAAACAACAACAAAAACCTCAATGTAACTGCATTAATTTCTGGTAGCACAAAAGTTTGCATTAAAATTGAATGACGGGGAAATAAAATTTACTGCTTCCTTTCATAGGAACCTTTCATTATTGCGGTCATGCACAACTGGATAAACAAAACCACATAAGAAACATAATATTTCTCAGCCTTGAAAGAGATGATAAATCAAATGAAACTACAGTTATTTCACACTGTGAATAGGCCTCATGACTAAAATCTGTAAGTAGGTAGTTAGGAAGGACGTTTTTTTCAGGAAGATGTGACATACAAAGAATTTGAAGGATTTTACAGAGATGCATCTAATCAGACAAGCACATTTTGTATAAGATAGGAATACAACATGATAACTACAGACGTGTTTGTTGATTTTTATGACTCTTTCTCCTTGTCTTCTGGTATCTGTTTGGTTTCAGCAACTTCTTTCTCCTCAGATTGTTTAGCTGTCTCCTCTGAAACTTTCTTAGTGTCAGATTTGTCATGGTGAGCCTCAGACTGCTGTGGTTTCTTTTGTGGTTGTGGTGGTTGCTGCAGCTGTTGTTGTTGTGGTTGGGTTGACTGTTGTGGCTGCTGCGGTTGTGACTGCTGTTGTTGTGGCTGCTGTTGTTGTGGTGGCTGTTGCTGTTGTGGTTGCTGCTGTTGTGGTTGCTGCTGTTGTGGCTGCTGCTGTTGCTGTTGTGGCTGAACTGCTGATGGTGGTGGTGGTATGGCTGGGGGCTGAACCTGAGCTTGTTGTTGTGATGGTAGAGCTTTCAAGATGGCATGAACTTCCTCAGCAACTGCCATTAAGCAGAATTCAAATTGCTGCTTGGTTCGAACCATTGCTGGACGTTGGTCACGAATATGTTCAAGGGTGGCAGCAATATCAATTTCCTTAGCTCCCTTTGCCATTCGGTTTAGAACCATATCAATCAGGCAGTAAGTACCAGTGCGGCCAACTCCATCACTATAATAAAATAATATTCATAATGAAAATGTTCAGTTCATTGTACAAAATTGTATCATGACTTTGGGTCACAACTCCTCTTATAACAGCAAAACTGGGTATTCAAAACCAAACAAAAAAGTTAAGGTTCAGTACCACAAATTATGAATGTACAGTAAAGAAATCCTATTCCAAATAAAACAGAACTTCCTCCCTATGTCTTATTATATTAAAATACTGAATATGAGTTTGTTCTAGAAATGTCTGGAGATTTTTGACTTTCAGTAGCTTCATTTATACTTAATATGTTGATACCAAAGTGTTTAGGTACCTTACCTGCAATGAACAACAATGGGACACGATCGGCCACGATATGATTTGTTCACTTTCCTGTAAGAGAAAAACAACATTAGCAATTTGTAGGAGTAAAGAATATTTATAAACCTGTTGATCTTTTATTAACTGACAAAGCAATAAAATTCACATAATATAATGTAAAATGTTTTTGTTTAATGAAAACTTTCCTCTGAAGGAAACAAAATAGCAGAATAGTTATTCTACATTTGGCAATTTATACATTTTTATATTTTAAATATTAAATCAGAAAAGTGAAAGATAATTATTTGTTTAAGTAATTATTACGATTTAGAGTAATAACAAAGACAGTCAGACTTAGAGAAATTGAAAATTTCAGGTTTAACTCAGCCAAAGGTACTCTCAGAAATAAAATAGTAATTATTCACAATTTAAAGTTCTGATAACTTTCGTAAAAGCAATTAATGTAGGTATAAATAATTTTTAATTTCCATTTCCTCTTTTGAGTACATACAAACATCTATATGATAACCATCATTAAATGGGACTCACCGACGGAATTCCAGCAGCGCTTTAGTTGAAGAAGGTACACCTGCATCTGGCCATGACACAAAATGGAATTGTGTCACAGTGCGTGTTTCTCCAGTCTTAAGGTTCTTCAAGTAAAATGAACGCACAAGGTAATCATCACACCAGATGTGTTCGCTGACCAAATGAACCTTGAAGCAAATGTAAATATATCAGGAAGGTATATTTTAAACAATTATTTGTGGGAACCTCATCAAATTTGTAATGTTTAAAGAATGAGTGTGTTCTGGAACATTTCTGGTACTAACTTTTTTACTTACATTGAGGATATCTGACACTATACCAGATTGAATTTTCAGTTTGTTCTTGTGTTTTATGAAATGTACTTTGACACAAATTTATGATTAATTTATCAACATTATGTTTAAATAAAAAATCATAAATGTGTGTTTCCATTTATCACGTACTTTCTTAAATGTGTACAATAGTATAAAACAACTTCAATGTTTATGTTAAATTTCTCTATCTTTCATATGAAAAAGCCCTCTTCCATCCAGTAATGAGTGGAGTAATGTGATTTTAAATTTCAAAAGTTAAAATCTTAAAAGATTAACGGTCTATTAAATACCTTTCAGAAAGTGTTACAGACTTGTGACAGCATTCATATTATTTAACTATTGTTAATGCTTTATAATAATTCAAACTTCATCTAAATATAATAATATGAAAGAATTTTCAATAAATGTCTAGTTACTTTAAACATTTATGAGGTTTGAATCATATTAAATCTCCAATTTCAATTGTTTTGTTTCTAATAATACAAACAGTAAGAAATCTTACTTCATATATGTGATAGAGCTCAGAGCCTTCTTTTGGCCAATACCGGTCACACATTGCAGTGCCTGCCTCTGTTAGTCTTGTTAACATCACCATTACTACACTGCCTTGTTCCCAAACCATTTGCCAGAAATCAGGAGCTGTATGTGGCAAAGGACCTTGTGTAGCTATGTAGGCAGGGTTCCTTGGATCATGGTCAGTCTGAAATTAAAAGACACAAATGCTATGAAATACTCTGCAAATGAGACATGTATGTGACAAGGAGAACGCCAATAGTGATGACAATAAGAGAAGTGATTTCAACTTTAAGCAGTTGCATGGGAAATTTTAACTAAGTTGTCAAGTGGGATTCATAAAATATACATTTAACTCCATGCAGAAAATATTGTGTTAATATGATTAGTTAGAAAGACGGGTAACTATGTCATAATTAATGCTTAAATTTCTTGTAATTTATGTTATTAAAATGCAAAATAAGTTAATTAAAATCGGTGAGCATGTATAGAAATTATCTTCTGTAATAAACTATTTAAAACTAATTTGTTTTTTATTTTTTTGGTTCAAAAAGAATCATAAGCTAGTCATAACAAAATTTTAACAAATTGTGTTTGGAAATACTTTGCCACAAACTCTAGAGAGAAGTGTTATGTGTAGGTATTTGGGACACCTCAACTACAAAAACTTATCTTTCCAATAAATTGGAAAGGGCAAATTTTATATATGTTCAACAAAAGGGATCAGAATGTCCTCATAGAATGTCATAAAAAAGACCTCACAAAGCAAGTGACACAGATTTACTAGAAACACTCCACACGGCAGCTTAAGAATGTAATCGGTTCAAGGTTGAACACCCTCCATTACAAATGGAGGCAATTGCAATGCCTCCATTTGCAATTATGCAATTATTTTTTATTCATGTACTTTGAGAGTAGCCTTTCTAATAAATGATAGCATGCAAGTAATAACTTATTGTTTATTCAAAAGATGTCAACCCGATAAAAATATATACTTACAATAGTTGAAGCATTGATGTAGTCAGATCCTGAGATATTGGCAAGGTCATTGAGAACCACCCTTGAATGATCGTATGGCAAGAACTCTGGATTTCGATTCTTGCGAGCATTTTCAGGCTGTAAGAAAAAACTCATTTTATTAAATGCATTAAAAATTCTAAGTTAAGAGAGTACTCCATTTTTATTTCTGTTTTTTAGACCACACAATCTGAAAACACTAATAAAAAATAAATAAAGAGAAAATAACACATTTTCTAAGACAATGCCATGGATCTTTTAGAATTAAAATTCAGGAAAGATTTAAAATGAAATGTTCTATTTGATAACATGTATTGCATTAAATAATGGAATATATTACTGATGTGAAATTTATTGGAAGAGTTTCTCCTACATTTTTTACAATTTAAAGAGATCAAATTAAAAAGTAAATTGGAAATTAAAATAAGAGAAACCACAATGATGATACTTAATCTGTTGAACAAATGCTGAGATAGCACCTTGTTTTGATTCTGGACATTAATGTAGCTTTAGTAGTTACACTTTTTTATGAACACACTTTGTGCTAGTCACAAAAAGACAGTCTTTTTTTGTCAGCAGTTCTATAAAGTCATATCTTTCCTTCATTTCGTTATGTTTTATGTTTCTTATTACTTGAAAATGAACATTTCAATTTAGTTTTCAAATGTTGCCAACAATGCTCCGTGGTACGTTTATTCGTAATGCAACTATGTGGGGTAGGGACTTTGGAGCTCAAGAAAACATGAACAGAATTATACTTCTTCCCAAATATTTCATAGTTTTTCTGTTTTTTGATTACAAGTAAATAAATTGAAAGTAAAAGAAAAAAAATGTAAAAATTAAATGAGAGCACTCACCTCTCGGGCAATCGCGGTGGCGCAAGGTTCTGCTTCATAAGCGCACAGAGCGACCCATTCTTGGTCAAGGCGATCTTTGTTCTTCAAGTGATCTTCCATGTACGACTGTAACACACCATAAATTCTGTAAAATCTGCACTTTTCCGCCGGCTTCGGCGATGCAGGACCTTGGAGCATCATCCAAGTAAGCGAAGATTTCGTCGATAGCATATTTTTAATTTATATATAAATAAAACCCCAAGTTGATAAGATTTTTTGCCCAGTTTCCCTGGTCCTTTCAGCAAATGCTGAGATGGCCCCTTGTTTTGCTTCTGGACAATAAAAATAAATGGAACTTCACTCGCTGCTTGCAACAAAATGCATGCAATTGTATTCCCTCTGAATATCATATTTGACTCGTCATACACGATTATAATTTTATATGTGACTCAATATATTATTATTATTATTATTATTATTATTATTATTATTATTATTATTATTATTATTATTATTAAAGGGAATTTACGTATGTCTTCGCACATAGTCGCAAAAACTATACTCGACCGATTTCTCTGAAATTTTCACACTTGTTCATATTTGTATTGGCAATGTTTAGAGAGTGAATTAAATTGTACATGTGGGGGCGTTGGTGAATGAGATTTATGCGTTTATGATGACTCAAGCGACCCTGAAAAGAAGCACCCCTCCTCGTCGTCAAATATTAGCCGTCTGACACTGCATACAAATATTCTGCCCTTGCGATCGTGAAATATTGGGCGGAATTATTACTTGAACATTATCTCGGACAAGTAAATGAATTTTCTCCAAGGCAGTATCATAGCGAACGCATGTCTAAACTTGAGAGAGAACGTTTTAACAATAGAATATTTGACAACCGTGTCCAAACCAGGTTATAGGACAAACCCACACTTGCGAGGAAGACTTTCATCTATTAGAATGTTTGCAGGGCGTAAGTGACGTGATTAACAATCACGTGACCAGTAGCGTGTGATGCGTGCAATACTCTGCAATAGCGAAACATCACCGGATCCACTCGTTCATGTCTACGAGTGGACGTGGTAAACTACTCGTATACAAACTCTTTCAATTCCCAGCCTTGCACTTTTAACTTTTTTATACTACTAATAGTTTCTTCCCACTACTCTACTTGATTCCCGATTACATTTTAAGCTGCGGCTAACGCACGAGGAAGCCTCAGAGCATGCACGAAAATCATTTATCGTTATGTGAAAAAGGAAGTAAAGCCTCTGCGAAATAAGCAACTAGATATCACTGCTCAAAGAAACCTGACATTTCGTCCTGATGTAGAATTATACTGAATTAACAGCAATCTTCACCAGCCTTCCGCTTATTGTAGCGTAGCGACTCAAAATCATAAATTCTCCATGAAGTTGTGATCGTCTAATTCAGGTTAATATACAAAATGTTCCTGGCCATTGCTGTCGAGGCCAGATGACAGCTTAAAAAAGCGAATATTAAGCATATCTCATGAGAAAATCTGAAGGTTTTAAGAAAAGTGCCTGTTACTGCATTCATTTATTGATTGAAGTTACTGAGGTCGTCCACTGCTATGGTCATTAGCCCCGTTATTATAGTGAATGCCTTACCCCAGGATTGATGGGCGATCCCGAGTGCGTCAACTGCTAAGTTCAATAGTCCCGCAAGTATAGTGCATTCACGCGGGAGGGGGTGGTGATCTTCCCCAGCTGGACAATGAGATAAGGCGCCGGCCTACACGTCGGCTCGTGGGGTTTTCCTCCACCAGGACTCTCCCACGAGTTGGAGACCGCCCCAGCCGGGATACGTTCTAATCTCCTGACAGATTTACCATCATGTGTGGTAGTGTAAGTACGTGTGTAAGCAAAGGGTGAGGATAGGACAAGGAAGAGGTAGGCAAAATCGTGTGCGGTCCGTGGTCCGTTTTGTTAGGGTACTGCTCCGGTATTCGCCTGGTGTTGACCGGAGAAATCACGAAAAAATACCGATCAGAGCAATGGGCCGCAAGAATTCTCCTCCAGACAGCGGCTGAATTCGACCCCGCTATGAAGCTAGAGTCGAATATCCTGCTACTGCCGGGACCCAAACCCTAGGACCTCCCGGAAAGAGTCGCTGCAAAGAAATGAAACTCTGGTCCTGAGGCAAACAGCCAGTGACAGTTAATGGAGGTGTTCGTTTAATCGTAAATGGAGGTCGTGGTTTCAGTAGATTGCATTACAGGCAGCGGAAGAAACCATTGCGTCAGCCACAGATTGTTCCAAAAGACCGATACTCCAAACTTGATAAAAGTAGTTCTCCATTCGACTCTGCATGCTTTTGTTGAACACTCATTAAGTTAATACTCGTTTGAATCATTTAGGGGACGACGATATTATTTGTTTACTGACATGAAATCAAAACTCGGACTTAATACAAATTACAGTTACGAATTTTACATGATCATTACAAATTTTACATGATCCCCAAACACGAACACAGTTTTTTTGAGGGTCTGTGTTATTTATTTTAACTTATTTCCCGACTATTCAAAATACCCGCGAACTTTCAACAAAATGTTGGCAAATATTTTCGTTTAATTTAAAAAAAAATACGTACACAAATAGCAACTTGTAAGAAAATAATCTATATTGTACTAAAGGAAAAACTAATTCAAAAAATAGTAAACTGATATTCAAGGAAATTAACATTAGAATTTGAATCAGAAGAAATTTATCCAAACAAAAATGTTTGATTTCATTATATTTGTAATAATTGTTGATGTATTGATACGCACAATAAAAATTGATAGACACAATAATGCCAATAAACTGTAAGTAGTTTGTTAACGACAGTTTATGACGTTTACAATGTTTTTGTATTTCGTCGGTTACAAAAATATCAATCCTTGGTAGTCTGTTAGGCATGCCTGATATACTAGAAAATAAAGCACCATCAGCTGTATGTTACAAAATACTGAAATAGAATTGTACTTTGAAGTTATACTCACCAACACCATATGCCCAGTAGAAATGTCCATATTAGTAAGTGCTGGTTCTTCACTCCTAGAAAAAATAGCAGTGGAAATAGAAATGCAAGAAAAATACAAAGCAAATGTAACATTATAAGGTAATTTATGTTTTAAAGAATAACTTACGGACAGTACAAGTAATCACAAAGTTCTCAATTTAAAATAAAATACTTAACACGACAGAGATTTGCTATTCTTCGCTAAGTAGATACTTTCAATTAGAGCCAATACCGTTTTATCAGAGAATTTCCAATTGAAACAGTACAACAGTAGAAACTACATATTATGGAACATTCCCTAAGACAAGATCATCGATATCAAGAGAATTTCTTAGAAGGGAGACGCTTCTTCCCAGATCTAGTTACTTTAACATGGAAACTATTGGCAATGGCTGTATACCATCTCCCATTAATACTTGACGTAAATCATTCCCATTAATACTTGACGTAAATCATACTGGAATACGAAACCAGCGAAGCAAGTATCTTTCTGAAGTTCACTACTCCACATGAATCTTAAATATTTATGTGAAGTTTTCTGACAACTGAGGGAACTTTCTCTTTCGAGAGATAACTAAAGGACTTAAGTGAAACCAAAGAGAAGAAAGAGTTAGTGTTTTGTTGTTACAATGGGGAAAAGTGATTAAAAAAATATTTTAAAAAGTGTTTTTGAATGTCTCTAACGTTGCAGTTTCACGGGTTAAAAAAGAACTCAAGTAAAATTTACACGACTGTACTATAAGACGTTAGCTAGTGAATTCGTTTGGAAGGCACTGGAATATACATAGGCTACTACTCTTCTGGCGAGCTACTTTCAATGTTAACACTTTACGACGACCCTCAGACCTAATCCATCCGCGTGATGTATCTATGCCATCAAGTTATACGACTACTTAACAATGCTACACAAGTGATATGTGCCCCTTATTGGTAAATTTATTTGTACATTTTGTTTAGCAGGTTCATGTTCTGTCTCAGTGAAAGATTTAGTAGATTGATTGATTAGTAATTCCGTCAACTTCTAAGGTCATTAGTTCCATAACTGTAGTGCATGTGTTTTCCTGGAGAGGGGGCGGTGATCTTTCCTGCTGAATGGTGAGGTCTAGGGCCGACCAACCGTAGGCTAATGGGTTTCCCTAACTAGGCACTTCCCCCAACCGGGGCAAGCTATAAGCTTCTCACTAACCTTCCATCACGTGTTGTAGTAGATGACATGCGAGTGTAAGTGTGTGTAAGGGGTGAGGATAGGACAAGGAAGAAAAAGGAAGGACAAGGAAGAACGCATGCGGTCCGTTTGTTAGGGTACTGCTCCGACATTCGCCTGGTGCTGATCGGAGAATCCACAGGAAACTACCCATCAGAGCAGCCGACCTCTAGAATTCTCCTCCAGACAATGGCTGAATTCGACCTAGCTGACAATGGTGTCGAAAACCCTGCCACTGTCAAGAGTGAAACCCTAAGACCTCCCAGTCAGAGGCACTGCAGTGACATCAATTGAATCGTTTATTTCAGAAAACCGTCAAAGGCCAAATTCCTCATTTTTAGAAAACTGAGAATAAGTTCCCCAATTTTTCAGATTTCATAATAATTTTTTTATTAAAGGAGTTGATAAATCAATATTTGTCATATAAATATGTATTAAACGATGTGTCTATCCTCTTGGAACAATAATCCGTCAGTAAAGCGTGTTTTATATTTTGGCGTTTGACGGGTTTCTGAAAGAAACGATTCCCTGAGGCTCCTCAGCCTCCGTTTATATAGACCCATTCACAATGCAAAAGTAAACATAAGCATGGCGTTGACCTAAAAGTTAGAACTTCGTCCACAAGCGGACTCATTCACAATGCGTTCGCATAAGCATAACACGTAAGACGTTGACTTAAACGTTTGCAAGCTACAAGCTTCTGTGCTTATGCTTACGGAAGACATAAGAAATTAACCAATCACAGAAAGGTAACTCAAAATCGAGAATCGAAATTGGAGTGAAGTCGATAGAAGAACTAACGCCATACGGGACATAGAGTCGATAACTTGAAATCGATTCTCACATCCAACCAAAAGATCTCACAGCCAATAGGAACTTATTTTGCTTACCTTTATGTTAGGCATTGTGAGTCCTTCAGTCAATCGCTTATGTTAATGTTTATGTCTGCGCGCTATGCTTATGTTTACGTTTGCATTGTGAACGGGCCTTCACCGTGTCAACGAGCTTCCGCTGCAGTTCGTGCTATTGTGAACGGGCCTTAACCGTGTCGAGCTTCCGCTGCAGTTCGTGCTCGCTGCGCATGCGCATGCGCGGGCGAGTGCTCACCAGGAGGAGGTGCTGGAGCGCGAGGACGGGCTGTTGTTGGAGCCCTCGGACTCGCGCGACAGCGACGCGATGCGGCCGCCCTGGCCCGCGTGCACGGGCTCGGGCTGTTGCTTGTCCTGCGGGCCGCCTCCGCCGCCGCCTCCTCCTCCGCCACCGGCCTTGTTGGCCATGCGCACGCGGCACAGGTCCTGGTAGTCCTTGCTGGCCTCCGAGTCGTGCGCGCCCAGCGCCTGCAGCTTGCGACGCGAGCGCGCGTGGCGGCGCACCACGAACAGCACGGCGCCGGCCACCAGCACCGCCGCCAGCGCGCCGCACACCAGGAACGCGGCCACGTACAGTTGGTTCGTGTCCACGTGCGCCACCAGCACCGGCGGCATCTTGGTCTGCGCACACGCGCCACGATTAGACAAGCCCAAGCTCACACCCAAACACGAAAAATTAGTCATTCACACCATTTGTTATCTAAGAAGCTGAACTATTTTTACATAGTTCGTTTGACCGGTTTTCTCTATCGAGAATTCAACGCTTTGCAAACCCTTTCTAATCTCAACTGTATAACTTTAACTCGATTTTTCTCCATTTTCTGAAAATATGGCTTAGACCACTATTGAGCTGACCCCTTTTAGTGTTCACCTTCCTGACACTACCTCAACACTTTCTTTTTTATTATATATTTCTCGGGTTCCCAACGGGGTCGCTAACGACCCCTAGAGGTCGATGATATTTTGAAGAGGATCAATGATATTTAAGGGGTCCTTTGGGGGTCAATAGCTGAACATGAACTAGCGACTAATCAGTATAATCAACATTCCATTGATTACAAGAAAAATAACTTCGTAAATAATTATTGTCTGATATACTAAAGCAACAAAACATAATTATAAATTACAAATTCGCTCTTTATCTGTGAAATTCCGTTGTTCATCCTTAGGAGTTAGGTAAAGAAATTATAAATATGCAATCTAAACGATTCTTTATCGCGCAGGAAAATATTCTCCATAACGCACTGCAAAAATGTAATGGCTCGTTCTTAAACAAAAAATTGTGTAACCTTGGAAATCCAGTGACGATTAAAAACTTGGCTACTCAAAAGTGACAGAAGTTTTGAAAATCGACATATTTACGAGAATATCCATATACGAAATTATTTTAAGGCGTTTATATGCAATTCTTGGTGTTATATTACGGATGCTGTATGACATACAGAAAACGTAAGGGGTCGATGAAGCATGTAATTGTCTTAAAGGAAAGGAAAGTCGAGAAAGACAAAGGTTGTGAATCTGTTCTTGTCTACCCGTTCAATCTTACACAACTTTTCAGGGAATTTATATTTATTTGCAAACATTATATACCATTGTAGATTCACGATCATGTAGTTCAATGTTGAAAGTTGCGATCCCGGCCAGACAAAAGACAGTTGATAATTGCCCTACTAAAATGCATCGCAAGTGGCACAAACACACGTGTCTACAGGAATAATAAGATTTTACTATTAAACCGTAGGAGATTTAGCTGCATTCCTTGACACTTTACACAGATAATCACGTACTTCGGGCTCACAGTCCTCTCACCAAAGAGGTTGAACGCATTGTTTACAGATTTAAATTTCAAAATTATTGAATTTAGAAATGAATACCATACTTAAAATTAAAATCCTCATTAGTAGATAAAATAATAATAGACTCAATTTTCAATCAGTTCTGATCAAGTCACGTGATCTCAACTTCCAACAATAATTATATAGGCACGGTTATTCAGCAGGTAATTATCATTATCCATTGATTAAAAGAATGACTAATGTTAAATATATGTGAACAGATAGCATGAAAGATAAGAAAAAGTTAAGAACCTTACTTTCTATTTTCGAACAAATAGAATGAGAAAACTTTGTAATGGCGTATAGGTATATTTTAAGTGCTAAAGACTCTCCTTTAGCTATCTCTTAAAAGTACATTTAATTGGCACTTTTTTAGTTTTTTGCGAACATCCTGAACACAGTAAGAACATTTACTAAAGTGTATAAAACATTTTTAAAGCTCATAAAATGTTCTTCTAAATGCTTTTTTTATTCAGTCAGATAACGCGATTACGCTTTTAAGAAAATGGTAAAATGTGATTATATTCTAAAGGAAACCATTTCTGTTTCCTACCACAGTGCACCAAGTTCTTAGTTTTCATGCTGACGCAGATCATTTTTTAATTTTATTACTTCACCGAAATTGATAATTTGTTAAAAACTTTGAAGCTCAATTTCTCAAAATCTTGTCAAATGGGTTTGGTCTGTTTTGTTTGTGAACCCTTCAATTGTCAGTGGAAGTTCGGCGGAAGTACGCAATAATGCATGTTTGCAACGATGGTGTTAACAACAATAAACGTAGGGCAGGGCAGGCGAGCGGGGCGAGGTGTCGCCATGTAAGGTGGAGCTGGGCAAGGAGAGAAAGGGCAGGGTGGGATGGGGTAGAGTGAGAAGAAGGGGGAGGGGGGGAAGAATTTCACACGAATTGACCAAGATTTGAGCCGCGGTGTCTGCGGTGGAAGGCGAAAACTCTTGCACGGATCACTCCAATAAAAAGTAATACTAAATACAGACTTTAATAGAGATTCTTTGGTTGAATCGGTTCGAAGATAGCCGTTGGTCGACTTCACCCGTCTTTAATGCACCATACTGCAGATCGTTGCGTAGTGTTACAGTACTTTCCTTCACTGCTCTGCACTGCGCTACTATACGCCTGTCATTTGACCTCTTCCAATTGCAGCAAATGAGATGTAAGAAACAAGCCGAAGACCGGCGATTGTAGTCGCTGTATTGAATCCTCACTCAGCACGTGACTAACATTCACAGGTGTCCCTCGCTTGTTTTGAATTTGTTGTTCGGAACGAAGAAATTAAATACAAATAAAACACAAATACAAATTGTTATTCTCACGTTTTCACGTACGTATGTCAATTCACATTAATAACCTACATTGTTAAAAAATAAATGTTTGAAAATTTAAAAAAAAAAATCATTTGAGTTTGTCTTCTTATGAGCGAATATATTTTGAACCGAATTTACAACTCAACTGAAATATATTATTGTAATATCAATCCCTGGGTTTTCGTCCATTTTTATATTATTGGAGGAAAGATGTAATGCAGATAAAAACAATCTCTAATGAATGAAAGAAAACTAGACAGCGAAATGGTCATGTTTGTTTCTCAACTAAGTTTTAAAAATACAACGTATACAAAAAGGATTTTGTTTATATTATATTAATCATATAACATAATATAATATAATATAAATATAATATAATATAATATAAATATAATATAATATAATATAATATAATATAAATATAATATAATATAATATAAATATAATATAATATAAATATAATATTACTAATGTAAAATATTAATATTAATTATTTGTTTTTGACATTTAAGCCTGAAGATGGAAGTAATTATTTTCCGAAACGTTGCTGTTACTATTATGTATTATGTAATATATTGATGTAAAATGGTTATTTTATAATAATTTTCTGTCTTTAAAATTAAAGGCCAAATACAGTCCGACCAAATTGAAAAGACAATAGACAAAAAAGTAAATAACAAACTTAATAAAAAGGATTTTATTAATCGAAATGAAGCCATTACAAAAGGCAGGTGGGTCTGTTAGAGGGTGGGGAGGGGGCGGAAGTCAGACAAGGGGCCTCTTCTTGGACTTCTTGTCGGCCTTGCGGTCGGCCTTGGCGGGTTTGACCTTGCTGCTCTTGCTCTTGCCCTTGCTGCTCTTGGCGTCGGCGGGGCCGAGGGGCGTGCCCAGGGCGCCGTGCGCTGCCTCGAGGGGGGTGCTGGTGGGGCGCACCCTCAGCGAGCTGCCGCCCCCGCCGCCGCGCCGTCCGTCCGCGCGCCCGCGCCGCCCGCTCTCGCGCGACGCGGCAGCGACGCGCTTCCGCCACCGCCGCCCCGGCCGCAGCAGGTGCATTGAAGCTGCGTCCGCCCAGCGTCGAAGCCCTTGACGTGTGCGGGACGCGCGGCTGGGCAGGGCGGACAGGGGCGTCCATCGACGCCTGCCACCCCCGCGCACCGCCCCGCCGCAGCCCAAGCCCCCACTACCCACCACCCCGCCGCCGCCGTCCAGCTTGCAGATGTCCCCGGCGTGCGTTCGCAGCTTCTCCTTGGGCACGCGAATGGTGATCCAGCGACCTTCCACCTTGGCGCCCACCTCCGTGTAGTCGTCTTCGGCGAAGTCTCCGGACGCGACCGAAGACTCGGACGAACTTCGCTTCAAGTGGCCCACCAGCACTTCCTCGCCGGTGCCCAGCTTGAACGGCGAGAAGTCTGAGTCATCTTTACGACTCCTTTCGTCCGGGTCTTTCTTCGACAGGTCGGCGGGGACCACGGCGGTGCACTCCGTATTCAGCTGAAACTCGTTCACGATGAGTTTCCCGAAGCAGGAGATGCGCAGATACAAAACGATGCTGCCGATTTGTACGTTGTCCCCGGAGTTTTTGAGTGGGTAGCTCTCTCTCATGGCCTTCGACTTAGGGATCGCATGAGGATTCGTGAGGACCTCGGTGACGACGTAGGCGAAATCGCTGGAGATGTCCACCGTTGTTTCGCCGATTATCGTCTTCTCCGGTAAAACGCCAGGTGGGAACCGTCTTGCGACGCTCACGTTCAGGTTGAAGAGTTTGGAATAATCTACAAGCTTCCTGCTTGGAATAGCAAATAGACACGACTTGCCGATCCTGAAGGAAGGGGCTTCGTCTCCCTTGTTGTGTTGGTCTTTCTCTTTTATTTCCAACGGCGGAAACTTCAGAAACTGGAAGATTGTTGTGAGTTGACTGGGAATCGAGTCGATGTGCCTGTCTGAGAAGCTTGCAGATCTCTTAATGCGAACACTGTCAACAAGGAACTCTAAAAGAAATATTTGTTCTGATTCCTCACCTTCCATTGCCATGTTTGTTGTTTTGATGTGTTGAATGAGACTCCGACTTCTATGTCCATTCCAGATTTATTCCTGGTTTAAAAAAATCTCCTTACAAACTGTTCTTCTTAATGGCCATAAATGCTTTAAATTGCGTAAAACTAATAGTAAGCTATTGTTAATTTTGTTGATGTGAATGTTTTATTGCGATGAGAATGTCAACATGAATTTTTGAGTCATCCATATGTAAAAGGCCAGGCTGCAGAAAGATGAGCATTGTTTTTTTCATCAATGCCTCCTAAAATCTTTTATATCCATTATATTCAGAGAATTGTTGATTTGCTCAAGGATGTGATGGAACACATTTCTCTACATGTTTAGAAACTTTCTAGTTTTTGAATACACTTGGATTTTTGATTCGGAATCTTTGGATCGTTGAGGTCGGAATGTATTATCAGATCTTATATT